CCAGCGACCTCGGGGCGCTGCCAGGGGCTTTGGCATCTGCGCGTAAGTGCCACAGGGTCACGCGTTGTTGGTTCTTATTCTTGCAACATCGCGCCCGGGTTCCTGCCGTGGGTCTGCAGCGGGGGGAAATCCCAGCAAGCCCCCAGCAGCCAGAGACTCGCCTTCCTCCCTTTCTCCCTTGTTCGGCGGGGCTGCCCCGGCGGCTCCGCCTGCGGGTTGAAGGGCTCGCAGGGCGCTCGCTTTGAGAACTTCCCTTAAAAAAAAAACAAAACCAAAACAACGAAACAAAAACCAAAACAAGCAAACAAACCCCGACAGCTGATAACGATTCTATTCATTGCTCTTGCCGCCAAGCAGAGCAGACGTGCGGGACTGACCAATTTCTGCCTTCCAGGAGCGGTGGGCAAGAGGAGCAGTGTTGGAAACGCGAGCACCGGCGAGGGATGGTGATGCCTGCACCCCAAGGCTGAACTGGAGGTAAATCACCAGCGGATCGATAACCTACCGAAGGTTCCTGAAAGGCTGCAACATTGTACGGAGCCCGGTTAGCGGTTAAATAATTTCTTTATTTAATGTTTGCTACTTTGAGGATACTGAATAAAACCTTCCGGCTTGTGCTGTAACTGTTTCTTTACTGCTTAAAGTTAAAAGAAAATAAAAACAAAGACGGTGTTTGCTATGGATTTTAAAAAAATCCATATCTGATGAGGGATTTAAAGGAGCATGATTCGTTGTCTTTATGTTTTGCAACGTGTCTGTGCTTTTTCTCGTCGAGCTTGGGCCTTGCAAGAACGAATGTGTTTGTGGACAATAAGAATGAATTTAGCAGGGATCAATGTAAACGGGGCAAGCTGTAATTTTTAAACATTTCTTTAGCCTCAGTTTTTAACTGATGCAACTTGTGAAGCAAAGACAAAAGCATATTTGAAATTCTACTAGAAAACTAGACAAAGAACTATTTTTTTCCTGTACATAAAGCCCCCTGAAATTCTCAGCTATCTAACTTTCAACAAAATTAAATTTGAACAACATTTCTGTGCAGTTGAGGGTAACCTGCATTGAGCATTTTTATACGTGTTTCCAAGGCCTGCAAGCTCAGTGTACGAATTCAAGCTTTGTGCTTGATATGGTGAACAAGCTTCGCTGCAATCACCCTTCTGCTTTATTGAAGAAATGTTACCCTGAAAGGTTAAAGAAAGGAGGCTAAAACATCACTTATTTCTATTGTTGTATTACAAAAACTATATTTATATAGTGGATGTCTAGATGCTGTGCATTTTTTATATACAATTATCACATGTCCTTAAAAATCATTAAAATCCTAATCTAGAATTTTTATCCTTAAGGTAAATTAATTTTGAAGCATTTTTTTTTTAATTAAAAAAAAGCAAGACTGTGTGTACTGGATTTGATCACTGTATCTGTAGCTATGATCACTATATATTTTTAAATGTGCGATCACTATATATTTTTAAATGTGCATGTATTTCCCTTTCCCAGATTTGTTACAATAACCACTCTGTTTCAGCTTCATTTTAAATCCATGCTTCAAATAATTGAAAAGGAAATGAAATCATATTTAATGTCTAATAAAGATTTTAAAAATAAAGTGACTTGAATCTTTTCTTAGCAATGTGAAATGTGTATTGTAATATCTTTCATAGGTGATTCTCACAACAAAGGGCTACATGAATAATGTGATTAACATTTTCATTTCCCTTGATGTTTACATAAAAGAAAGTATACTGACGTATGACATCACTGAAACTGTAAACCAAGCAATAGAAAAATTTTAGCAGTTAAGGAGTCTGAAAGTACAGGAAAACCTCTCCTAGATATATTGACCCTCCTTGTTCTTTTGGCAACTCATAACTTTTCCTATTGCAGTTCAAAATACAGCTTACAGAATCAAAAAGTTCTTGGTGTTTTGACAATAAAATAAAGACTGTGTCTTTTATTTAATTTTTTTTTGATCACCAAGCAAAATGCAATCATAATCCCAGACTTGAGCTTGAGCACTGCAGTACTACAAGTAATATTTAATAAATAGCTTTTACAAACATACATTCCACTTTCTTTTTACAGATTAGATCTGATGGGATTTTTATGTGCATGTGTGGCACAACATGAAAGTCACACACAAGAGAAAATGCCTAATTATTATTGCTTGGTGATACATGTTAGATTGAATTCCTGTAGCAGTAACAAATATTCTGTTCATTTCTCAGAGATATTTTTAAAGGTTTTTTTATTCTTTCAGTTAAGATTTTTTTGTAGTGCACACAAGTGAAGAAAAATATAATCTCTGAATTTTTACTATCTTTATTGTTTTGCTTTCTAATAATCCCTTTTCTTTCATGCTATCTTTTCACCTTACATTATTCTAAAATAAAATACATCAGTCTTGCTTCATCAGCAAGATTCAATGTTTTCAGGAGAAATTAATCTGAAAGATCTTCATTAAAAAATTAAAAATAGTAATGGAATGATTTCATTTTGTGACTTTCAAATGTTAATATTCAGACACAATTACTAAATTAATTTTACCAAAAAAAAAAAAAAAAGAAAGTTTCATAGATTCTTCCTGTTGCTGTAGATTTTACACATCAGCTATACAAAGCAATGGACTGATCCTAAGAGTTGCTGGCTTGGGATGTCTCTTTATACCCTAACCTGGCCTTTTTTTTTTCTTCCATCCTCCCCTAAAAAGTGCCATAAGCACTATAAGTATCCAAGTACAGATATATTATAATTTTCTTGAATTACTGCTTACCTTTGACAGATAAGAATGTAGTATCTTTGGTTTCTTCTTGAATTTTCTGGTATCTTTCTGCACTTTTAGGATTAGTTGGTTGAGGGGTTTGGGGTTAGGTTTTTTCGCTCGTTTTTTTACTGATATATTTTAGCCAGGGGTATTTTGTGTCAGTATGATTTTATACCTTGTGCCCAGAAAGTACATTTTTTGGACCCTAGTAGTGGCAGTATTTGACATGAAAAGCCTTTCTGTTTCTTTTGAAATTTGCTCTTCTCCTTTTCTCTACAGACAAAGGAAAGTATTTAGGGTTTGTAGATTGTCAAGCTGAACAATGTAGCTAAATATTTGAAGCATAATATTGGCAGGGGGTGGCTGAGAGCAACATAAAGCAGTGACTAAGTTTTCCTCAGGTTTGGATAGTTGGTTGGTTACTTGAACAGGGTTTTTTTGGTGAGTTTTTTCCACCTCAAATGAGAATTATCACCACTAGTTGCTTGTTAATTCTTACTCTTGAAACCAACCATAAACTTTACAAGGGCAAGACGTGTGTGATGAGTGCTTGTGAGGCCAGCAACATTTTTATTATCATTTGTGTTAACTTCATGCAGAAAGAGCCACATGTGCTAAATTACCATACTACTATGAGCAAATTCTTTCTGTAGTTTCAAACAATTACTTGGAGCTTAACTAAGTAACTTCACATCAAAATTCATTTAAATACTCCCTTGGTCATGCTTCATGCCAAGAATACATTCTTATCTTTTCTGCACCTGGCATCGGTAGCCTACCTGAACTTGCTACTATGAAGTTTCTAATAGAGTGCTTAGCTGCTTTGTATTCTACCCTTATCAGATATTAAATAGTGAACTGTAGGCTTCTATTTTTTGCTTTATTTCCCATTTCAATGAGCCCTTTACCACAGAACGTGCGTGTCTTCCCACTCCACTATTTTTGAAAGCATTTCCTGTTACTCCTGCTTGCTTCTCGCCAATGGCCAAGAGGAGCTTAGAATTAGGCACCTGTATTACCCAAACCACCAGCAGCACTGACAATTTTTTTAAAAGCACACAAATAGATTAGCCTCTGAAAATATTCTCTATCAATTTTGTGTAAAAACAAATAATTAGCTGCAAATCTACTATCAGGCTTTTAAAAGTACATCTTTATGTCATTTATATTTTGAGCAGTAAATGAGCCTTGTTGGAGTTCATCCAATGAACCTAAAAACCTCTTTAATATGCTGTTACCCAAATAAATATGAATTGCACCAGCCTTTCATATTGGTGAAAGATATGAAACCAAAATATGAAAGTATTTCTTTCGGTTTCACTGTTGTATCTTTGAGTGCAAACCTTCCCTTACAAAGAGAAACTAAGAATAAGGCCTATATTATTCCTGCTGAATAGAGGAATTCTACTGGGTTCATGCTGGGGATTTTGTTTGGGTTTGTTTAAAGTAAATTTATTTGTGTTCCTGTATTTTGTAAAAAAACTTTCAAATAAATTTCCTGGATCTGCTTGACATTTCAACTTTCTATGCTGAATCCATTCCCTAATTATCCAGAGGATGTTGAGAAAATTATTAAAATGCAGTACTTAATTGTTTACTATTGGGCTTTTCTTCACAGAGGCTCTTGGATATTTGCCATGTCTATTTTCACGTCTATTTGATGTCAAAGTTTTCTGAGTCTTCTAAGGATTATGTAGAAGATTTTTAAGGGAAGCATTGAAAAAATTAATACACAGGGTATATTTTAGAGGAGAGCTATTCCATAATGAAAATAGGAATTATGTTGCTTTGTATATTGACAATTATTTGCTTAGATTATTACTTCTACAAAAATTTTGAAAATGTTTGCTATTACTTCACTTTGTAGTAAAGTGTTCTAATATGCGAAGCAATTTTTGTTGAGCGGAAGATTCTCCAAATAACGTGCATTCATTTGTTTCAATGGTTTCATATTTGTGTTCTGAGTCTGACGTACTTGAAGTGTTAAATAACAAATTTTATTTAAACTGGTAAATTATGAAGTTTGTTAAGGTACAATTTAATAGTGGCCTTCAGCTACTGTTTGTCTTTCCATTTTTCTAAAGAAAATTTAGATTTCTGTTTAACCAAGTTTGAGGGTCATTTCCAATTAGGGGTATGGATTTGATGTTTTCATTTACTGTAGTAGCCTGTTAAAAATACAACTTTTAAAAATACAGATGAGAGGTTATTTGCCTGATTTGTCAAAATGATGCTGGCTATCATTAGCTTTCATATAGACTTGGAATTGCTCTGAGTTAATACAAAAGATTGTTAAAGATTTACATCTATGTAATAACTTAAGGGATTCTGTGATATTGTTATCAGACATATAGTCTGATAAACTTGCTAATATGCAATTTAGATAAAAGTAGACAAGGCCGTAAGAAATATCAGTGAGATCTACCCAGGGAAGAGATGAGCAGAACAATGTAGGTATAATTTCATGATGTTACATTCAAAATAGTCTACTGAAGAAATTATATGAGTCATTCATGTTCCTTATGGGCTCCAAATCAATATAGGGGGAGGAAAAAACCCTCTTTTTGATAGCCAGTAGTAAATCTTTTTAAAAGATCACTCTATTTATTACATATTCAACATTTAGAATGTGGTAATTTTTTTTTCTATAACTCTAATGTGAAGCCAGTGAAACAAAACAATAACACAGCCTCTGTCGTAATACTGCATGAAGTCTTTCACCTTATCTCAGAAAATTAGAGTTCAGGAGAAAATTAAGATCAAGGAAAAATACTTGAGTAATAGGATTAAAGACCAAGGAAAAGGAATAAAATACATGGAGGAAGTAATATTCAATCAGTGCATACAAAATTTCTCTGTTTCAGAGAAGATAAAGCAAGACCCTCTATAAACTCTAGGGCATAGTTCAAGAATTGAAATGCTTGAAAGATTTCAAATTAAGAACTATGTTTTTCCTCATAACAAAATACAGCCATTTGGGCTTCACTTTTGCCTCAGAAGTCTCAATGGCAAGGATTTTAGCAGTCTTTAGAAGAACTCACACTTCGACAGGTAAGAACAGCCAGTGATAGAACAGATACATAATTTTAAAGCTCGTTAGTCTGATCCAACACAGCCTTGCTCTGTTGCCAGCCTAAAGACCATCCTTAGTTTTTCCCAAGTGCTTCCTTCTAATGTTGTTTTAGTTTAGACCAACCTAGTATTTTTATTTCAGTGCAATTGAAATATCTACTTTCCCCAAAATAGCAATGATGTAGAGTGAGTAGTACCAATATTTGCACTTACAGTAAAAATTCAGGGCTGTTAGCATTGAGCCATTTGGCTGACAGTGCCTACTTTGTGTAGCATATGTGATTTGTCAGTCATCCATGAAATAGGCATCACTGAGATTCCGATCTCCATTTATTGTTCAGTCTTCTGAGAAAATACTGGTCTGCTGATCCAGATTTCTCAACATTTTGTATTCTTGTGTAGCATCTACTTGGTGCCTTGAAAGGATTATTTTATATTTTCAGTTTGCCCAGCTCTGGTGAGCTGCATAGGCATGGTGTACTAATTGAGACAAAAATTGTGTAAGATAACTGCTTATTTAAAGTAATTGAACCAAGCTGTTGATTTTACAGGTTGTGGAGTACCAGTGCTTCACAAGGAGTGTGATCAGACAGCAAATGATCCCTGCATATATGTGACACTGGTTGCATTTTTTGTTTGCTTCCTTGTTTTTAACCTAATACTAATGTAAGATGAAGACTGGCACATGTGACTCTCTTTTCCCAGGTGAGGCCCTACCACAAGATTAAAAGATTGTGATCATTCTAGATGGACTAATCAGTAGTTTTCTCATG